AATTAAGTGGGATCTTATTTTTGTCTCGGGGAAACTGAAACTGCATTTGAGCACTTTGATACTCCATATATTTCTGATGTGGAAGTTGGCCGATATGCAGACATGTGAAGAATGGGCGATCATCTTACCATCAGCAGGAAAAGTTACTGTACCAAAATTAGTTACATGATCGGAGGGGAAATGAGAGTACTGCCGATAGCCTTCTCGATTTCACCTACTAGTTGAAGATAATGTTGTGAGACAAGAACAAGAATCCTTTTTTTTTCTTTGTTTGAGCACAATCATCCATGTCTGCACATTACCTACAAATTTGGAAAGTGCAGCAAAAGTGAGTTCAGCCTTTCGAAAGGTCACTATGGGGTCAAACTAAAGGTAAATCTGAATGTATATCAACAGTATACAAAATGAGACTTTCCGTTTTCAGCTCTAGAAAGATTTCCAAGTAGACTAGTGTACATAGTGAACAAGAAGGGTCCAATCACAGATCCCTGCGGAACGCCAATGTTAATGATGAACACACATCCAACAGGTGCGGTTGGGAAGGTATGAAACTGTCCACTGGAGGGCTCAACCTTTGATACCGAAGGTGTTACCTAAGCGATCAACCAGAATCTGGTGATCAATAATGTCAAAGGATGCAGGCAGATCAAGCATTACCAACCTCACACCAACATTTTTCGTACAAAAAAACTTATATACATACAAATAAACATACCCCAAAAATGATAAATATCAAAATTATTTATCGATTATAACAAAACAACAAAAAAATAGAATATTTATGTGATCTCTCTTTTTTGTATTTATTTCACAAACGCGCGGTGAGCATTTGATTTCAAGTGGATTCGACCCCTTACAAATCTCATATATATTATTGTCATATCATTATTATTTAAAAAGAAAACGGCTGGATTACTCTATTCCAAGCCATTAATAATATGAATTGTTCTTTCTACATGCCCAGAAAGGCTTGACAAGACACCAATCAGCAATTAGGGTCTGCATATTTCTAGTCTACTCACTTGCTTCGTGGTTAGAAGGGACAAGGAAATAGATTACTTTCGATTCCTCTCGAAGCTCCTTTATCATCCCAGGAAACCAAGAGCTTTAGGGCATTAATATTAACGATGAGATGGCCTGTTCAGAGCCAAAAGGGCAGTTAACTATGTATTAAAGTATATGAGTTAACGCCCTTCTCGCTCAAAGCTGAAGAGATAGGAAACCATACATAATTGATTAGCTATAACTGAGTAGGAGTGTGTAGAGCTGTATTGTGGTTAAGTAGTTAAAGGGGAAGTTTCGAGGAAACCAATTGTTTTATTTTTGGTATTCATTATCAAATTTCATTGGCATTGTATCTTGATTCTATTGCCTTCCAATACTAAGAGTCTATAACACATTACAGAAATTGAAATTGTTATTTCTTTTTTAAAGATTAACAAAAAAATTAAAGCAAGATTTCATTTTATTTTTTATTTTATTAATTGATGATTGTTTCAAATGACTGGTAAGAGAGCACGTGTTTGCTTGTAAGTCAGAAGCCAGGAAACTCACGGCTTTAAGTCCTCTTCGAGGGGATTTGGTAATGGTGATCATGCCTTACCGAATTGCATGAGCGGATCGACTTGAATTTGAACCCGGGACCTCCAAATTGCGAGACCACTGCTCTACCACTGAGCCATCGCACAAAATGGAGAATTTTTGCAGAATATTCTATTTTGGAACCTGGGAAAAGTAATAACATTCCAAAATCTCCTGTCACTGAAAGTTAGCGGGGGAAGAATGTTATGAAAAAGTCAGTATAGAATATTTGTACAATTCTACCAAAGATTAATGACACCAAACATGTCTGCTTCCGGCAGGTGATGAAGAATAGTTATATACTTCTACAACTAAAGGTCTTATGCATGTTACCTGGGCCCCGTTTTATACAGAATTGCGATCGATCCGAATCAATCGCAAGTCCTCTAATCAATCGCAAGTTTACATTCTCCTCTCTCGTATTTACATATATAGTTGCGATTATAATATCAATCGCAATTAAGTGGAAATAATTGCAACTGTTCTTTAAGACAGGGCCAGAACTTCACTTTGTCTAAAAACATAATGTAGCCTACTTCCATGAACGTGTTTTCTTCACTTTTTCTACACAACTTTTTTTGCACGACGCACCTAATATGTGCTTATTATTCCGTTACAGACATCGCTGACAACAACTGTGTTAAATTGAATGGCAGCTGTATAAAGCTGTATTGCATGAGTGAGATCTCTCATAGTCTTTTAATGGCGTTTTATATCCTGTTTGTTAATGACACTTCACTTTATCAATTAACAGGCGATTTTGTTTACGACGCTTAGTGCTGTTTCCTGTTTCCTGATTGAAACGTTCTGGGAATATGGTCATTATCCCCTTTGTGAGTGCAATGTTTGTTTGTCTGTCGAAAGGAAACAAAACACACATTTTCCCGGGGCATTAAATAAACAAAGCGATATTTTATGATCATTGTCACGGGTATCCGATATTTATAGCGAAATAGTGAAATCATTTTGTTTAGAATTCATTTAATGATATCAAGTGCCTGCAATTTTCAACTGATATTTGGAGAAATGAAAGAAAGGAGCAAAAGATGTATGTTGTATGCCTGTTTCATGGGCACATTTCACCAGTGGGGCTTGTGCTGGTTATCCGAATACCAACTTTCTAAATTCTAAATTTTGCAAGGGAGCATATCGACCGAACGAAAATTGAAACATTTATTTTTTTAGGAAAGTCTAATTATGTCCAAAAAAGGAACATGCGTAAAGCCTCGGTCACAAATGCCATTACGAACTGCTACGAACGCCGTACGAACGATTTTCAGACAATGGAAAAACAGGGAGATTCGTACGAAATTATCCTTCGTACGAACCTTTGTGACCGTAGCATAATACATACATGAACGAGAACAACAAAAAATACAATTAAACAACTTATTGCCTATATATGAAGTGGTGTTTGTCCGAATAGGTTGCCCCAGTTGCCCGAATGATGTCGAAACTCGCAAGCCCCTCCCCCACCCCCTTCACCTCCTACGCTAATAACATGTTGTTGCAGCATACATGCGTCCAAACAGCTTGACAACATGCCATTAAGTGCTCTATCAAGGGGCTGGCTTGTGGAGGTAAATTTGATTTAAAATGGCATTGTAACCATGCATGTCAACCGTGTGACACATGGCAACCAGCCTTACCAAACCAACAGACCAGAAAGGGCATCAGCTTATAAACTATAGCAGCCTTTCATTTCCAAAAATAGTTTTGTCATGATCGGCGGGCACCAATTTTGCCTTTTTATTCTCACATAATCGAAGAAATTATTTATATTTAGGCCTAAAGGTAGTAAGGAAATTACTGGTGCCCTTGGAACAGAATAACGAATATAACAAGATCGCACAGTCTTTCAAAAATCAACCTAGAGCAATTTTATAAGACTCGTACGACACCTTTTGAACAGTGCGAACAAGACGTATTGCAATGGCATGTTACGTAATACGAAGAAGGATCCTCCCTGGAATACAACAGGTTATTCGAACTGCCCTTGATGAAATATCCTGACAATAATTATCGATCGTACGTGTTACATGACATTGTAGAAGATTTCCCCACCCCTCCCCCAGAGATTTATGTCGCCGTCAGCCTTTTGCAGCCATTAGGAAAAAAACTCTCGAAGCCTTTCGAGAGGGCCGTAGCAACCGCTTCCCCTGTTATTAATTTTCTTATTCTTAATGCCATGCAATGTCGTCAAGTTGCCGTTCCATCTAACCATGCGTGCGCGCTGGAGCCTGTGTACATAAACCTCTATGTTAATTCGATGGGAGCTAGGAATCGCTTTGCAGTTACGGGCATGCATCTGGCGTGTATTATTGATAACGATGGTGCGTGTGAGATGAGGTTGGAATCATATCTTTCTTGGATTTATACATGCTTATCCTCATCTGGATTAATTGTAATAAGTGGGTGGAAAAAACTTCTTGTACGTTGTCTGATTGCCATGGAAACGGATGATCTTAATAATTTTGTTTTCGTCTCGGATTCGTAAGGACGAGTTATCGCGAAATTGTTTAATTGGAATGTGGGAGCCGTATTACCTGTCGAGTGCTGTCCGCGATGTAGCTATTATTGTAAGATGAAGCAGTATAGAGAAACAATAGAGAGAGAGAGAGAGAGAGAGAGCTAGCTAATAGTGAGAGAAAGAGAGAAAGAAAGACGGAGATAATGTTGAGATAATATTTTGGTAAGATCGTGACTGCCAGTGAGAGAGAGTCTCTAAAGAGAGGGGGTGAGCAAAGAGGGAGAAAAGAACAAAACAAAAAAGAAAGAGAGGCAGTAATACAAAAATTAACAGCAAAGAGAGGTAAAGAGAGAGAGAGAGCGAGAGAAAAGGACATGTTCGAATATGGAAAGGGAGTAGAGGGTTTGAGAGAGCGAGACAAAGAAACAGACAGAGATGGATAAATATATAAATGGATAGATAAAGATGCATAGGTCGATAGATAGAGGGAGGAAGAGAGAGAAAGGATGGGAGAGAAAAAGATGGAGAGAAGGAGGCAGAGAAATTGAGAGAAAGGCGGATAGAGGAGAGACAAGGAAGATTATAAACAACGACGATTAAGAGATCAGTTGCGTAATTGCGGCTCACTGCTTTGGTATTAGGCTTTTATCGATATCATATTTTATTCATCCTACTTGCAATACCACAGGGCTTTGTTCCTAGCATGATCTTTGGATGCATGGTATGTAGCAGCAAAATTCCTCCCAATGTTAGGAAAACAAGGGCAGCATCTAATCTCCAATTCAAATGTCATCGATTTTCCCCCGCAAGAATCAATAGCTATACGTGCCCCGTTTCTAGTATCAGTAGGGTGTCTACCACCCCCTCCCCTCCCCTTCCTCTCCTCTCCACACACGTACAGTATCATCCTTTTTTTACGACGAGACAGAGGATTCCTACTACAACCTTTCAGACCTGCGAGTAACTGGGTCCGTGCTTAACCAATTCAAGCGTTAGGATTAAATAGTACATATCTGCCTCTTGCATCTTCTGGCTGCTCGTTAATTCAGTAATTAGTCATTACCACCCGCTCCTCCACATACCAGTGCCTTAATGACCACTCGGCAACAGTACATGAACATCTATGAGTGGTCACTGTGGATCTTGCAGCTGGACATTTGATAATCTTGGTGTTGCCATCATTAACTTTAGAACTGAGGAATTGTTTTAAGTGAAATACTTCGCTATGAATCAGACAAGGAAAAATTTACACAGAGACCTACAGCCTGAATCGACATACGGGTAAGTTTATAATCATCATTTTCAATCACCCCAAACGCAAAGACTTTCGGGAAATTAATTAGTGTTTAATAAGAGAGTAATGTCAATGTTGCATTGTACATTAATTTCCATAGATATCATTCTGTATAACACCGCATTGAAATGTTCGCAGATTTCAAAAGGAGACGAAAAATACTCTCGACATTGCTATAGAAGATACATGTAGTTTGATTCTGTGAGTCTTTTCGATCGTGCGAGAATAATTTTCAATCGAAAGGATTGATTGATACTGAGAACATATTAATTGTAATGGATAAGTAGATTAATGACAGTGTTTGTATTTTGTTTGTCGCATTTCAGTCACTACGAGTGATGAGTGATATGATTGCACGCTTGCCACGTATGCAGATCGGCACAAACAATATATGAACAATTTAAAGGCCCACTGCACTACTGGTAGCTACTTGTGCCCTCTATATAACAAACAATGCCTAATCGATGACCATTGGTCCCCCATGATCCTCTTTTTCTTATGTTAACTGAGAGCTGAGTTGATGAGATAACCACCTGTCCAGTGACCTTGCAGAGCGGTCTAATCCCTCCTGTAAACTACGGCAGATAAGCTTTAAAGAAAGAAAGCCAATTCATTAATCAAAATATGTTTAAATAACATCCTATATCTTGTTATATTTCAAAATACTATTATGATTGCAGGGCCCTCGAAAAGAACAGTATATACTAGGGCTATTAATAATGATAAGGCTACACTGGGTAATACTAATATTGAACATTCCCCTTCTTCTTCTTCGTCTTCTTTTTCATCTTATTCCCTTATCGTCATCTTTTTCCTCGACTTCTATTTCGGATGATGACGAATGTGCGAGCTCTGCGCTGGCATTAATCTTCCTTTGTCACTCCGTACCCAGGAGAGAAATGGGGACCTGGTCGAATGACGAAATTATTTGTGTTGGTAATTGCCATATTCCCTCACGGTGACTATATGGTAGGAATACTCCCCATGGAGTGGAGATAGTGCACATTGTGCGTAGATGAATCCGATGTCGGGGGTAATAATATATGTAAAGCGCTTAGAGTTGGTATTTCGTATCAAGCGCTGTAATATAATATCCAGATTATTATTCAATACATACAGAAATGTGACGCGCTTTACACTTTACGTCATCACAAAAAAAGAACATTTAACAAATGGCTTGCGCGTTATATCTGAACGAGGCTCACCCTTCCCCTGACATGAACCTTACTCTACCCCTCACCTTTCCTTGATTGACATCAGGCCCCCTGTCCACGAAACCTTTCATCGTCCTCTAGTCTTACTAAGTATATATACCCCCGTGATTCTGTTCGCTATGGGTTTTGCCTGTCAACGTCCACGCTTCCCCAATCCATCAAACACACATTTTGCTACGCTCTGACATCCAACCGAGGACCTACATACAACCGTCTGGGGAGCAATTCCAGCAAAGGAAAAAGTCGTTTCTTTTTCATTTAAAGCAGAGGAAACAGGGGCAAATTCCGTTTTCCTTTGACATTTAGCAATCTCCTCTACCAGTATACATCGCTCACCATCTCCCATCTCCCTCACCTATTCTCCGATTCATCTTTAAAATGATAAATGCAACACTAGACTGTTTGTAACAACTAAATTATTCATACCCTTACCAAGTTTTTTTAATTTGTTAAGTAAGTGACAAATCGATTTGACCCGATGTATGTATTCGTGAGGATGTGATGTATATTGAAACTTACACTAAAAGTATTCAAAAGAAACCCTAATTCAACCAGTCCACTTTCGATTACGAACATATTACCGGCAATGCTTTCCAATATCTCACAAAACACTAGTATGTAATTATAACCTAGCACGAATTTATATATTTACAGCAATATTGATGTCACATTCGATTCTAAAACTAAAACAAAGGTTCATGAAAAACAGGTAAAAGCTTTGACTGAAATGCTAAGATAATGTTTATATTGTATATGGATAGATGTTATTGTGAACAGTGTAGATAAATTATGTGAAATAAAGTTCCCTGAAAGGGTTTGAAAAAAATATGTACAGCATGCGGTTACTTTAATAGTGCCTTCGACGAAAAACTAAAGGGTCAATGAAACATTGCTTGGTTTGTATAATTGTAATTGTTTTATAATGTGCGATTACCAGCACAATTTCCATTTGTCTACACAATGCCCACTTGAGATAAGATGCAGTTATATAAGCCACTTCAGATGTAGAGATAGCACTTGTTAGTACAAATGACCCCAACAATGTCCACAGAGCTTGTATACATTATACATGGAGACGTTCCACTTTGTGCATGTTGGAATAATCACTGCCAAAGTGATGGAAGTGCTTCATGGCTACCTTTGTTTGCCCTCTTAAAAGGAATAGTTGGTCTCGTTTTCCATGGAATGTACCGCCAGTGCATAACTGAATAATGATTGCATTCATGAACAAGTATCCAGTACTGAGCCGTCTCGATGTGTTTTACCGTTTTCTTCAAATGATAGTAGATGCGTAGATAGTATCTTTGAAGTGCCTTGTTCTTTCAGTGAAAGCACATTAATTATAAAATACCCGAGAAGAGGCGGAGAGGATAGCCTCAAGCCTCGGTCAGATGTGACGTAGCTGATACCGCGGCGGTTAACCGCGTCATATTTTAACAAGCCCCTAGTGTACCATACTACCACAACACAAAGTTCATGTACGCTCCATAGTGCCGTGAGTGTTTATATTTTAACTATCACTTAAATGTTGTCAGTTTGTTTTGTTGTTGATTTTGTTTACGATTATCATTTGGGTAAACTAATTTTTCATCTTCATTTTTAACTACCAGAACAACAATCACAAATGAATATATATATTGTAGGTGTATATCAATTTATCAGAGGGGGGGGGGGCAGCTATGTGCTACACTTGCTCTCACTTCCCTACATTCTCTCTTCACCTAGTTGCCTCTTTCCTCGACTCTCACAAATTGATTTAATATCAATCCTCCCAGTGCCTTAGTGCGTCGCCCCTTACTTTCATGCGACACACAATTGCATCACCTTCGAAGGATATAACTCACTTACAGATCTTACTACCAGCCTTCAAAGGCTAACTCACTTACTATCCTCAGCCTTGCGGAGATAACACACTTACTACCAACAGACATATGAAATTGACCTTGTGATATTTATGCGCATTTACTCTACGCCCCGCCGCGTAATGATCACACGGAGGTCAAAAATAGCAACGACAGAAAATGGCAGACGGTATATTAAGAACTGTCACTGGTTGATTTCATTAAGACAAATCATGCAGGGCCATCGAACTGATAGATATGTATCTATCTTAGATCTAGGGCAGTATGGCTACGGTTCTTGAGGCAGAGGTGCATGGTATGGGGTATATGGGCTTCTGTATGTGAGGGAGAGTGTGGGTGTGCGTGGTTATTGTAGTGCGTGTGGGTAATGTATGTGCGTAAGTGGGTGCGAGGGCAAGGGTTATATGTGCAGTGTGCGTAACAGAGTGATATATTTTTGACAGAATGTTTCGACTCCCCCCAGATGAAGAATGCACACGATTATCATTTACCGCCTAAATTTATCAACTTTCAATTATGTAATCTATCTGCATCTAGCACTTCTTCTGCAGATTTTTTTATTGGTAGTGTGCTAGCAGTTACATTTTGTATTAATGTCAACATTTCTATTATAATTATTATATTGTGCAGACGTTCAAAAAATTTGATTCTTCTGCAGATTTTTTTATGAATAATTCTTGGTAGTGTGCTATCAGTTACATTTTGTATTAATTTCAACATTTCTATTATTAGTGTACACGTTCAAAGTTTTTTTTATATTTTGGATATGTACCTCTGAAATGTAATCTGATTGTATGATTGCAGGAAAAAACTCAATTCGAATCAATATCTGTCTCTCTCTCTCTCTCTCTCTCTTTGTATCTCTTTCTCTCTCTCTCTCTCTTTCTCTCTCCCCCTCTCTCTCTCTTTATGTCTTTCTCTTTCTCCAGGAAACAGAGCAGTGGTGACTTGCAGAGTCGGTTGAAGACGAGGAAACTACTTGGAGTAGGTGAATGTGAAGATGGCTCCGTGCCGCTATCAAAGGTAAAAAGAAAAAGGAAGAAGAGTCCAAGTAAATCAAAAAGTTCGCTTTTTATGTATTTTGCTTTTCATTCACTTTGAGTGCCGATCGATATGTATTGTATTGTATTTATTAAACATCATTGATGTACATCAATATGATTGCAGACTTGCCACGTATGCAGATCGTCACAAACAATACATGAACAATTTAAAGAAAGAATTGCGGCACTAATGTTCTTTGACAAGACATTGATCTACAGTTGCCACACTCAACCCAGGTGAGGTAAATGGGTACCTGGTAGGATTATTTCTTAAAATGCACTGTGCGCTGGTAAGGCTGCCGGAGCTAAAGCTAGGGTAATAAAGTCCAAAGCTCTTTGGAAGCGCATAGAGATGTTATTTCATAACGTATTATGCGCTATACAAGAACTGAACTATTATTATCATTATTAAAATAGTTTTGGATAATTACCCCTTTCTGGTCTTTGGTTGCCAATATGAACACCCTTTTACCACCTACTGTGAAGTGGATTCATCCCTTAAATTAAGAAATCAACTTGAATCAATCGGGAAAAATATCCCTTGAGAAAAAACAACATTACCAAATGTTCCGCCTCACTACCCATTTTTAAACGAAATGTCCGTGAAACTCAAGTGAGTTGATTTATCGCTCACAATTTTGTAGTATTCCTACCACCCTCTCTCTCTCTCTCTCTCTCTCTCTTTCGTTTACTCTCTCTCCTCTTCCATTTCCATCTAATTTCCTATTTGTATGAAATGTTTTATAGTTTGTTTATATCGTTTTTATTTTTTGATTTATTGTAATTTGTTTGTTACAGCAGGGCTCCCTTGTAAAGCAGGCCTTGCGGCTTGAATGGGACCGCCCTGCTTTTTATAAAGAAGACATGAATAAATAAATAAATAAAAACATGGCACCGGGATATTATTTGAGCGGCACTTAAAAGGTTTATATATATATATATATCATTTGTTTAAAATAATGTTTAAATGGGATCGGGAAAATGGAATAAATACATGAAAATTATTTGAAATAAATTGTCTCTTGAACTTATGAAGAAATCGAGATTCTTTTTGAAAACTTAAAAATTGTTGTGATGGACTTAATTCCCTCTTCCTTTCATATATTCAATTACTAACGAGTAATTTTCTGAATTACGAGCGACTATTAAGATAATAAGCCATGTTTACTGAGTAATCACGAGAATGCAAGGAACATTTTATACTAAAATAGAAAGATAATTGAGCATGACTAGAGTGCAACCATGTGGAATAATGATTTTCGTTTTTAAAAACAAGTATGAGATCGTGTCCAGAAATTCAGTGAGGGAAATATTTAATGGGCCATTGGCTGATACAACTCATAGATTCAAAGAATAGTGCAAGACAGACTGAGAGAGAGAGAGAGAGAGAGAGAGAGAAAGAAAGAGAGAGAGCGAGAAAGAGAAAGGTTTTTTGATTTGATGCAAGAGGGTTAGCCAGCTATATGGACAGATAGAGAGAGGGGGAGGGACTGAGAACAAGAGAAAGAGAGAGGAGGTTATAAGATATATGGATAGAGAGAGATAGAGAAGGAGAGAGGAGAGAGAGAGAGAAGAGGGAGAGCGAGATAGAGAAGTATTATACAGCAAAATTACGGTTACAAAAATCAAACCATTTCATGTTTAATTAGTGATATACTGTAATACAATTGCAAAATCTCTGCAGATCAGAGATTTGTATATATTTTTGATGTTGATAATTTGCTTTATGGTAAGCCATTTCACCAATACCTTTATACCTTATTTCCTTTTTCCAGATCAGTCAAATTCTCGGCAGTGATGATCATTATATTATGAACATGCCGGCCGGATTAAGGTAAGAATTACAGTTTTTAATTAGATTCATTTGTTTTGTTCATTCATTCATTTGCCTGTATTCATTCATTAATTCGTTTCTATTCATCATTTGTATCCATTCATTTGTTGTAATTCATTATTTGTTTTCATTTTTCACTTTTTTATCAATAATTTTTCTTTGTACTAATGAACATTTTTTAATTCGTATGTCTTTATTCTTTCAATCATTGTTATTAATTTCTTTTTATTCATTTTGTATTCATTCTTTTTTATTAATTCATTTTCTTATCAACTTATTCATATGTTTTTATGCATTCACCTTTTTTTTATTAATGAAATTGTTTTTCTTCATTTACTTAATTGATGACATGTAATATAGCATACGAGTGCATCCCGGTGACTTATGATGCCATAAGTGAATGACAAATTACGTTTACTTTATTATTCTCTTTAAAGAATGGAGAAAAAGTACATTCATTGATATTTCGACATAGAATTGTTGTTGACATTATGTGTGAAAGGTCTGGTTTCAGAGGCTCCATAATATGTTATATTTTTTGTGGTTATATCCGTCGGTTGTGTAATACAATCTTTAGTCCTGAATAATTTATCAGCCACAATACCTTCTCACTCAGAAATTGTCTATTCATTTAACTATATTTCCTTTTAAGGCATGAATAGATTAACCACAATATGTTGTCATTCATTTCCTGTGATTTTAAAAGTAATGTGAGTTATATATCTTAAGAAAAGAATAATGAATGAAAAGTTACACGTGCACAGATGGGAGATACAGAGGAAGAGAGAGAGAGAGAGGGAAATAGTGACAGGATAGACTGAGATAAAGAGAAGTAGAAAGAAAGAGAAAGGGAGAGAGAGAGTTGGGGGAAGAGAGAGAGAGAGAGAGGGGGGCAGACAGAGATAGACGGAGAGGGGAGAGAGGGATAAATGAGAGAGAGGGGGAGAGATGACTTAATGGGTACGTTGAGAACAGACATTTGACTCGGTGGAAGGGGGTCCGGTCTGTTCTCTTTGTGCACAATTCTAGACCAGTGTTCTATTCAGCCATACCGTCGCTGGCTTACTGATGGGGGATGCTTTTGGGCAGTTCCCCCTCGTAAAATTCAGATTTTGCTCAAATTACATGATTTTCCGGGTTTTTGGCTCTCTTTTTTGTAAATTGTACTTTTTCTGCCCCCCAAAGGTTGATCCCAATAACAACTAAATTATTAGTACCCTTGTACATTCCATTTTTTTTTTGTAATTAAAAAATGACAGGTGGACTTGAATACTTATAGATGTAAGCTTTAATATTTAAATTTCCAAGTGAAACATAAATTGGGACAAATCCATTTTCGCAAACTTAAAATGTTACTAAACTCGGTAAGGGTATGAATAATTTAAGTGATAATTGTATATGACATAACCAAGCGTGCACGACATGAATAATTCATGTCCTAATGTTTCTTCTATTTTGTGTTTTCTTTTTAATTCAGGTTATGGCAAGTGACTACAGCTGTAGTATTTACATCAGTATCTCTTCTGGTAAGATATAAAGGCTATTCTTTTTTAATCTCAAATTTAGCTTTGATTTTTTATTTTTTATTCAGACGTCTACATATAAATAAACTTTAAAAATCAATAAAGGGTTGACTTGTAGCACATGCTCGGTCATGCTCCGGAGACAAAATATGCCATCTTGTCAATATCCTACACGAACCGAATCAATAAATTCAACCCAGAGCAAAATATTATGCCCAACCCCAACTCTGACAATATATTTGATGAATTGAACTTTAGTACGATGGTTGTCGGAGCATAATCTCTTTTGCTTCCACGTCTAAAAGAAATGTATCGAATCTGCATGCCAAAGATTTTCCGATCCATTTTACGTGCACTCAAAAATGAATTGAATGTCGCCATGGAGCGAATTCGTAAGCACACAGTTAAATGCACTCAATGTCGTGTACCTTTAGCCAAAGAACATTACTTGACTTTCCTCTTTTCGGAGTGGGGGGGGGGGGGTGGGGGGAGGGGCGGGCATTTTTTTGTTTTAGATTCGCAAGTTTGAGCTCACATACGCCAGCTGCGGTAAATGCTGCGAATCCTCATATATCAGAGCCGCCGGACTTTCAAGTTGAATATTTATGAGCGCAAAATGAAATTGGATGTACGGCGAGACAAATTGAACGACCGAATGGAATGTTTGATTGATGACTCACATATAAGGTGAACGTACGTGGTTCACGTCAAAATGGATGTTCGAAAGGTGAATTTGAATTGCAAATTGATTGAATTGATCGGGAAAAACCAATTGTTGATATCTCGGATTCGGTAGAACCGAGGAGATCTTTGCACTAAGCCACTATGAATATGACGGACAAAGAAAGAGGACAAAAGATACAGCTCCTCATTGTACCCTCAACAATTGCTGTGTTAGACAAAGGAACATCCCTTCACTGCTATTATGTAAAAATAAGTAGAACAGGTGAATTTTCATGTGACACCTGTTCTACACATTTTTACAAAATAGCAGTGAAGGGATGTTCCATTGTCTACCACAGCAATTGTTGAGGGTAGAATGAGGAACTGTATATTTTGTCCTCTTTTTTTGTCCGTCATATTCATAGTGTTGGTAGTACAATAGGATGATTAGCAAACCATACATAATTATACGTGCATTTTGTTACAGTTGACACAGCTACCTTACGTGCCTTAATGAGCACGGACGCAAGGCCTCTCGAGAATTCAATTTGAAGGCAATGTCACTACCCTATCGTATATCCGTATATCCCCATAGAAGTCACGTTCGGTTTACGTAATACCTGGGGGGGGGGCGTTTCACAAAACTTGTCATCAGCGACATATGACAAGTTGTGTTATAAGCTACTGAAATCCTTGCTTCTGATTGGTTATCAGCAGATTTGTCACTGATTTTAGTCATTTGTCATTGAAAAAAGGCTTTGTGAAACGGGTCCCCGATTGTCATGTTCGCGCATTTCAATAGGTGACACACAAATCCATTGAAATTGTCTTGGGTTGATTTTCGAAAGCAGTTGTGATCGAGCATGAACGCAAGGACTCTCGAGAAATTTAAGGGCAATTGCAATACCCTAGAAGTTTACATTGCTTTTATAACAACAATTATGATGTAATAATGATGTAATAATAATCATTGTACTGTTCATACATGTAAATAGGTGACACACAAGGCTACTGAATTTGTCTTACCTTGATATCGTTAAGTAGTTGCTTTCGTGTTTCTTATTAGGGACTTTTAGATTTGCACGTCGACAGCTTTGACTGCAACGTGTGACGTCATTTTAAAGCACTGCGCATGCGTCACGGCGTCTCAGACTTTCGTAGTCCTTTCACACAACTACCATTTTGTAGAGTTTAAGCATTTATAACTGTGTATTGTACCTTTTCTTATACCCTTTAATTTAGTAAATAATTGTACGTCATATTTTATATTTATGTATATGATTCCTGGACCCCATGGAAGACCAGCAGTGTCGTGCCTGGCACAGCTGAATATGGGCTATCCAGCCGTTTTATTTACACTATGTATATACTTGTATTATATGTTTGTTTTTAAAACGGAAAATAAATACTATACTACTATACTATACTATACTATACAGTCGGCGATCGAGGATGCGTCAACCTTGATTATCCTAAATCTAGTACGGTCCATGGTATATGCCGCGTGCACATAAAATATACAGTTCCTCAGGTAGACAAAGGAACATCCCTTCCCTGCTATTATTTAAAAATGTGTAGAACAGGTGTCACGTGCATATTCACCTGTTCTACACATTTTTACGTAATAGCAGTGAAGGGATGTTCTTTTGTCTACCACAGCAATTGTTGAGGGTAGAATGAGGAACTGTATATTTTGTCCTCTTTCTTTATCCGTCATGTTCATAGTGTTACTTCCTGCATGCATTTATATCGTCGAGTGCAATCTAAAAGATTTCTAATTGTAGGCAACATGGGCAGTTGAGTACGTTGACACGCATGATCAGTCGGCGTTCGTCGTGTTCTCGTCCACTCAATCTAAAGTCCCTAATATGTGCCTTAATGAGCGCGAACGTAAAAGCACTCGGATAACCCATTAAAGGGACATTGCAATACCCCGGAGATTTGTATTCCTTTTTATAAATCTTGTTTTAATGATGTAATAATCATTGTAAAGTTCATACACTTAAATAGTTGACGCACACGGCTATTGTCATTGTCTTAGGTAGAAAATGATTAGAAAAGGATGAGAAAAATCATTAGCTTGGGGTTGTGATTATGATTAGGGTTATGACGTTAATGACTTCAAGCTAACGACATGAGATGAAAGGATGGCGGTAATTGCAAGCAATTTTAGATTCATGTGAACCATGTACGTACATGTATATTTACGTCTATATTATCATTAAGACAGTAATAGACTTTGTGTGGTCCTTCATTGAAATTAAAACGCCTGGCAATGGGATAGGCCTATCGCCAAACGTGTAGTTTAGTGCGAGCCTGGATTTCGTGAAAAATACCCTTTGTTTTTTTTGTTCTTCCTTTTTTCTTTTCCAGTGTATTTTCTTTCCCGTAACCATCTTTAACATGTTATTCTCCAGTGAGTGTGGCAATGATGCAGTTCTACCACTCAGGCTTTTTGGAGCTGCAATCATCTGTGAGTATCTCTTTAATCCAGGGAAGGGGCCAGTTCCACCCCCCCCCTCTCTCACCTATCACACCCATCCGCCCACCCCACTCCTCTCCCCCAAATTCTAAGATTGTTCAGATTTGCCAAAAGACATTACATTCGGCTCTCTCTCTCTCTCCCTCTCCCTCTATCTATTTCTCTTCGAGTCTATATAACACACACACACACACTCTATTTCTCTCTCTCTCTCTCCTTATCTCTTTTCTCTAGTAGTTTTTAGAGTACTGTCACTTTTTATTCAACGTCTACCATTCTCATTTCTATCTCAATATGCCCTTTCTATTCACAATGCATTAATATATCTGTTCAGAACTTATTCAAAATATTTTTTGAATGTTATCATGGAATGCTAGCAATATACATGTGTAGATGTATTCTAGAAATTAAAGTGCTATTCTATATCTTTGCCTTTCGATGCAATAACTTCATTAAAGTGATATTTTGGATTATTTGTATCGTTGCTTTTAGGTCTTGCCTTGTTGTTTTGGAGTTCAGTGAAGTCTCTGAGTCGTTATATCATTAGATGGACCCTGTTAGCTGAGGTCTTATATCTCTCGCTTCAAGTCACAGGTAAGAATCATAACATTCGAGGAGTTGTGGTCAAGCAATAATAATAATTACAGTTATAAAAACGGTGCTTATAAAGTGCTTACCACGGAAGTCTCTAAGCGCTATAACAAACAAAATACAATGATAAGCAATTTCATATCAAACAAAACAAAACATTACAAATAAACCTACAACTTACAATACATATGAAATATACATCGATATAAATAGAATAAGTTAATCGTCAAAAGCAAATTTGAATAAAAGAGTCGTAAGACAAGTTTTGAAGTTTTTAATTGATTGACAATCTGACAGTTTTTGACATGTAAAGGTAGTTTGTTTCAAAGTTTAGCAGAAGCTTTGCAAAAAGAGCGATTACCAGTGGATAAGTCTCTGGACTGTGAACCACAATTTAATGTAATTTATGGAATACTAAGTCAGTCATGCAGAGATGAGAGACGTCAAGGGGCACAGTGATATGTTAGTAACTATTATGTAAGTCTATAATTAAATATCCAATATTAGTTATTTTCCCCTTCCAGTTTCAAGCGACGCTAAACTATTGATAATCATGGAGTTATAATTTAACTTGAATGTCCATTTTAGATCACGCCCTCTGCTATCTAATTTTCGTTTTATAGGTAACATTTATTACGCTTTTCTCCTTTCAGTTTCAAGTGACGCTGAATTATTGATAATCATAAAGTTATAATTTAACTTGAATGTCCCTTTTAGATCATATCCTCTATCTAATTTCCATGTTATCCGTAAACTCTCTTACCTGTGATTTGGTTTTCCCTGTGGGAATTCAGATCATCTCTCCTTCCCCAGTCTACTAGTGTTGGTTACCATGAACGTGACTGATTATTTTCTATTTCTATTGTCATCTTTGTCATCATCATTGTTATAATCTTGTCATCATCGTCGTCATCATCACCATCATCATCACTGCATAAACGGATCGATTTTTTCTAATGTCCTCTATAACTTCCCAGTTAATTTCGACTGTTAATCATTTACTTTTCTTGCAGTGATTTGGTTTACACTCTGGGATACACACCATCTCTCATTCCCCAGCCTCCTCGTCTTGGTAACCATGGCAATGGCTATCATCATCAGTCTCTATTTCTACTCCATCCTGGCTGGCATCACCTTCAAGACCCTACTCCGAGGAAGAGCCCTCTTCGCTGACTTCACACAACACGATAAATGTGACTGAAAACATTTACCCCAAACAATGTGATCGCAAAAACTTTCAAGAAGTCAACTCATGGGCAATTGTAATACAGTCAAACCTGCTTTAATGACCACCTGTCTACAAAGACCACCTGCCTACAAAGGCAACATTTGTTGTTTCCCTCGAAAACGGTTTCTCATTGAATCATGTACTAAAGAAACATGTCTACAAAGGCCACTTTTTGTGTTACCCTTGGGCGGTTGCTATAGACAGGTTTGTCTGTACCTTATTGTATCTTGTATCGCCTACGGATATTCTGCTCGGATTGTGTGGTATGTTTTTTTATGATGTGTTCACGTCTCAAAAGGTGATAGATAATTCCACTGAAATTGCCGTAGGTTGAATTTTTGAAAGTCGTTGTGATCGTATCATGAAAGACAAAGAGGTAGAGAGCAAAGAAAAATATTTATTTTTAAGATTAGAGTTGTGGCTAAAAGTTGAGGATGAATTCAAATTCTTGCAGTCGAATTATATATTTTGTAGAAACTGGTTTAAATTCTTCCTGATTTGCTTTTCATGCAGTAGATGGATTTTGTGAAGAAAAAAAATTAAGATCACACTATTGATAACTTCCTGGACCATAACCATGGTTACTGAAAAGCAAACTCTTTGAATGTTACTCGGATTATCAAGAACTCTACAAATGTTTGGCAGACAGCATCTCTATTGTAATTTAAACGTTCAGTGTAATTTTTTTAATAGATTCTCCCAGAGCTTATGTTCTCTTATCATAATAAAGGAAGATTATATTACATCATTTATTATACTTTTCGGAATGCTAAGTTTAAGTTTTGAAAAGCTAAAAAAGTTGGTAACTTATATCATGCATGTATTCTAAAATGAGAGCTCATTTGGTTGTCATAGAAAATTTTGGATAAAAAATGAAATCAATACTTTACATTGGTGCTAGTACACATGACTTGATAAACCGGTCATTTAGTTATATACAATAATCAATTCCTTATCCTATACCTTCAGTTTTTTGTTTAAATTGCAATTAAAAATTAAAGTACCTCTTAATAAAATATAAATGATATATTTCTCTAAATATTCATCAGTCTTGGAACACCGTTTGCTTCTATAAATGAACAAAGTGAAGAGCATGTTATGAAAGTAAATCGTGATATAATATTAAGGATAAAACATTTTTTCAGAGTATTAATTAGTCTTGGATCACCGTTTGAACCAAATATAACAGCATAATTTTAGCAATATTCGATGTAATGGCTTCATTTTACTGTTCGATGAGCACGTTTATCACTTTTGCTTTAAAGGTATATATTTTTGTAAACTTGTCATGTATACATTATTTGCTTTTCCAAAGACAGATGCTTCGAAGATTAAGAAGGGACGCGCTTATTTATTTCAGACTGATTAGTTTTTTTTTTTATCAAAATGATAAGTTTGCAGGCAGTTTGATCAAACTTGTATCGTTAATGATTTACTAATCTTGTACTTGTAGTAAACACATTTATTATACCCAAAGAAATTTCATCACGACCTGAAAGCCTAGCTGTACTTAAGTATTTACAGACTGATCTTTGTTTCTACTAGTATGATCAACATTAAATGTTTTTCCAGGCAATGTGATCATATTTAAAATAATGAATTTGTGTTATAATTATTGATTTAAGCATCATGTTATTGTGGTCAAAAACATATATAAAATACAGGATTCGTGTATATAATATTTGTAGATTGCAGTTTAATCAGTGATTAGTCTAAGTTTTTATTGTTATTGTATTTTACATTAATCAAGACTGCACATTAATTGTGAAATATGTTTTTAATTCATTATATCAATGTTTAAATCTAAATGATATTGTGCCTAAAATATTAAGAGGGAAATCAATCATGTGTAATTATTGTACATAACTGAATGATACTCTTTTGTTATTTCATAATTATCTTTTTTTATACACATTACATATAATTATAGAAATTTTACATAAATGATGTGAGGGCGGCTAGATTTAAATTGAATAGTAAAGTTGTCAGTTTATACAGTATTATGTACCCATCCCAGAAACGTTCTCAGATAACTGGATGGATATATCCCGAGTATTGCATGAAACCCGATTGCGAAGACTTTCAAGAAACCAACTGAAAGGGCTATTCCAAAACCCTGTTGCGTTGCCTGTACATCATTATTCGATTGTGTAATACTTCATTGTCACCTTTGTAAATATCAATAGGTTACGCACGATGCTATTGGTATTGTCTTTGTATGACTTTGTTAAAGTTTTTGCAAATTGTTTTATCAAGAAAAGGAACAAGCAACAAAAAAGGAACATAAATGGGAGAAGAAATGAAAGAGAAAATCCATGCATGTGTAGGAATGTGTATGGAAATTTATTTGCAAACATACACATATCACTCATGTGACATAACCAGCTTTTTTGTGTCCCAATTGAAAAAAGCCCGAAACATTTTTCTACCTTGTGCAGAATGTTTGCATTCTTTTGAAAACTATTCCCTTTTAACTACATTTCAACAACTTGGTAGAAGAAAAATGGTTTGTCTTGTTTCCTCTATAGTTAAATCTCACAACTGTTTACAGCCCCAACGTATTTATTTTCTTTCTTTATAAATGTGCAATATCGCTGAAGGTACGTCTACTTGAACTGGACGATCTCCTTTTTTATATGTGATTTTTACAAAAAAGGATCTATGTATGTACTAAGTGTATGTACTAATATGTCATTGCACATTTGTTTGGTACACTTTTGTCCATCTAAGTATATAGATTTAGCTAATAAAACCGACACTCACAAATTACCGGTCTTGACTATTTATTTTATAGGCCTACCGTTCATGTAAACAAACAAAAACGAAAACCAAACGATAAAGTCCATGTACATGATAATAAGGGACATGGATATCGGTAGAGTTTTAACATTTTTTCTAACACGTACAAGAGATGCCACTTTTGTGTAAAAAAGAGGGAGTTGTTGTTGTTGGGTTTTCGTTGTTGTTTGTTCTGTTCTTATGGTACAATACTAGATGAAAGCATTTTTTAATCACACCACAACTATAAATATTCTCGTCAGAGTCAAAAGGGGATTAATTCTGTGACATTTAATTCACTCAATTTAATTTGCAATCAATTGCAAATCTCCAAAAACAATCGTAAGTCTTGCGATTAATTGCAAATTTGCAATTGATCGTAACTCAACTTTCTTGCAATGCCCCATAGTAAGAGAGAGAGAGAGAGAGAGAGAGAGAGGGGGGAGGGGGAGGGGGGTAAAGATAGATCTAGTTAACTTAATGTACTTGTTATAACTTTAATCCTAACAAAATCCTTGGAAATTTAGGAGACTAGTGGGGCGTTGCAAGAAAGTTGAGATGGAATCGATTAAATCGAAACTTTCTTGCAACGTTCCATTAGTGTCTTAAAACAAATGGGAAAGTTGTCCAGCACGACATCATAGACTTTACTGATTAAATCCACTCAAAATTCCAATGCATGATTACAACTTTCAAAAATTCATAGCTTTCTCATTTTTTATCCGATTTCAATCAAACTTTCACCACTCTCCTCTGTTTTTGTCTGCTTCCTTTTAGAGTTCTTTGCTATTAAAGTAGGATTTCCTTTAAATGCCATGAACATACAACTGTATACCACAGAAACCAAATTAAGTGTTGTCTAATTCACATTTTTTGCATCTCTCAGCATACGTGAATAAAGTGAGAATCTTTCTTCAGCACGGCTTCTTTTCCTAACCCACTTGCCATTTATTGTAGCTGTTAAAAAAAAAGGCGATATACACAAATAATTTGTCTCCAAATTATACTCATTTATTAGCTCGTCTTTCACACACAACTAATTGAGAGACGGAGAGAAAATATTCATTGAAGAAAAGGCACAAACACACGCAATGAAATATATCATATCATGTATATTTCTTGTCAAACTGATAAATGTTAGAGATGTCTGCTTCCACTGCGACCCGTACTCTTTAGGACTTGCACTTATAATCAAAGGGGCGTATTTTTTAAAGGCTGGCAAAGTTCTAAACCAATTTACCTAGGTGCATAGTACACTCATAATAATAATAATAATCTGGGTTTATATACCTATAGCAAATTAGTCAGTACATTAGTCAGGTACAATGTACATCTACAATGTTTTCAAGTGCTTGGCGGAAAAATTCTCACCCTGGTCATCGGATTCAGGCCTGCCCACACACAATGTTTGCACATTCTCCACTCACTGGGGAGCATTCTAGCCAGGCTTGTATACAAAGTTCCAAATGACCACCTTTTCATAGAGTACAAATCAGAAATATTCTCATCCCGGTCATCGGATTCAGGCTTGCCCACACAATATATGCACATTCTTCACTCCCTGGGGAGCATTCTAGCCAGGCTTATAAAATATAAAATCGTGTATATGGAGCTCTAAATGGTAATCTTTTCAAAGAGTACAAATCACTATAGGTCTGTAACTGAGTGAAAATACAAAGGCTTGTGACTATGTAATACATTTTCAGCTTCTTGGCTGAATCAATCATGTTTATTATTTTGTTATGCAACTACAGTTATTTATACTCGTAATTCGATTTGAAGCCCATGGCAGACCTTACAAAACTCGGGAAGAAGACAACGGAAGATAATTTAAGAGCATCAGGGGGGTGTTTCACAAACTTGTCATCAGTGACAAATGACAGTTGTTGTTATCAGCTACTGAAATCCTTGTTTCTGATTGGTTATCAGCAGTTTTGTCACTGATATTTGTCATTTGTCATTGAAAAAAGGCTTTGTGAAACGGGTCCTTGGCCTCACCTAGGTTGAGGCTGAAGACCTGGGCCCATTTCATAAACTTAGACCTGGGCCCGTTTCATAAACTTAGACCTGGGCCCGTTTCATAAACTTAGACCTGGGCCCATTTCATAAACTTAGACCTGGGCCCGTTTCATAAACTTAGACCTGGGCCCGTTTCATAAACTTAGACCTGGGCCCGTTTCATAAACTTAGACCTGGGCCCATTTCATAAACTTAGACCTGGGCCCGTTTCATAAACTTAGACCTGGGCCCGTTTCATAAACTTAGACCTGGGCCCATTTCATAAACTTAGACCTGGGCCCGTTTCATAAACTTAGACCTGGGCCCGTTTCATAAACTTGTTATCGATAACAAATATTACATTTCTATGACATATATGCTCTCAATTAATCAAAATACATGATTTCAGTAAGGCCCCAATTCAACCAGTCCATGTTTCATTTATTGAGTTATAAATATAACTACCCCCCCCCCCCCCAATCAAACCAAACAAATATTAACTACAATGAACCCACAGATAATAATCTATTGAAGAATGACAATTAACCGATGGATAAACAATATTAAACAAATCTAAATTGCACGCTGCAATATATCAAACACATGCGACAGCTCAATACATAAAGAAGAACACTTAAAGTAAGGTCGATTCACTTACAGAAAGACTTGTTAGTTTTCACATTATGCAACTATTTCTCGTTGTTAGGTATTCTTAGCCTCAAATGAAATAAAGTTTGAATACTTGCACACAAAAATTGCAAACATGATCATAGTCACTCAATATAAGCTCACAATTCAAGCCCCAACTCAAACCTGTGTTTCTATCATTCTATTTACTCTTTTCTATTCCCATTTATCTGTTTTTGTTATTTTTCTTTTGTTTTGTTTTAAACATATTACACTAAAAAAAAGTATCCCAAAAGACTTTGCACAGTTGACTTGCATGATCCAAATTGTAATATAAATATAAACTAGCACTGAACACATTTCACTAAATGTACCAAACAAGAAAAAACAATATAAATAACAAAACAATTAAAACCTTGACATTAAATGATAACCCTGCATTTGGCATTTGAAGTGTAGAAATTTGATTCACATAGTTCTTTTCTTCTCATCACATTAATGATAATCTATACAAAAACCTAAATTTTAACAGATAACCTGAACCACAATTTCAGTAAAATAAGTGTCTTGCTGCTAACACGTTACAATCAGAGTTTACCTATCCATAGATAACCATTGTCTTTAAGACATGCCACATGTATGTCTTAATGAAAATACAAATTAGAAATGATAACTACTGCTTTCCCTTTATGGTATAAACCTCCCGGAGATGATTATTTTACATAAATATCAAACACAAGGACTTATATGCTAAAATTTGAAACCTGAAGAAAAAAAAACTGATGAAATCAAGAACAATACCAAAGAAAGTAAGCAATTACTTCAATGAAAAAACAAGGAAAAAGATCTAATCTTAAACATATAAACCCCAAAACATCAGATACTCTATTTTCTTTGTTACAATTTCTTGAATCAAACACATAATCTACGAACGACGTTTCATAATCTTCACAGTACTAAATGACGGATATTCAGCCTGTACCCATGGAAACCGGTAAGTTAATTCATTTCAGACCTTCCTCGAGTGAAGCCATTACTGTCAAATCGCGACCAAATCTTGATACACAAACAGGAAGAGAGGAAAAAAAGGCAGGTATTTTAATAATTTCTGTGTTCACAATAAAAAGAATTACAGAGAGAAAAAAATGTAGGGTATTTAATCCTCTCTGACGTCAATACTGCCTATTCAAGGTTGAATTGCGATACATTAACAGAGAGAGAGAGGGAGAGAGAGAAAGAGAAAGAGAAAGAGAGAGAGAAAGAAGAGAGGAAGAGAGAGAGAGAGAGAGAGAACATTTTTGTTTTAATCATGTGAAAAGAAAATGTATATCCACACATTTAATACTTACCCAGTGAGATAATAGCTGTGTGATTATAATCTTATCTTTACACACAAAGCAAAAGAAATAAGTCCAGACATTTTGTAATCCAAAAAGTCTTTATGTCGACAAACAAGCCTTTACACACAGTCCAGTCCAGTCCAAATAGTGAATTGCAGGGGGAAATATGAGTTTGCTTTCATGGCTGTTATTAATTTGCATCTTATGCAAATTGCGTTTATTTTGACATTTTGACAATTTTATCCAGGCATTTTTAGGCACTAAAACCCTTTTGATATGGTAATAAAATGCAAAACTATAGAGAAAATGCGAGTGTAAATGACAACAGCTACTTTGCATATTATGTATATTTGGTACTTTCCACTTCTTAGATTTTTCTAAACTTTTAATATGTTGGTAAGAGGGATATTCCTATAGAGCATTGCAGTGGAATAAATTCTTTTTCTATAAACTTGGGGGTGAATTGCTGTTTCGACTGTACTAGAATGAAATCCAACAGTTTTGAATTCAATTCACAATCACTCAAGTCTTCATATCCAGACAACTAAAAATTGTTGCACCCAATGAAACCATACAATGTTCAGGTCATAAGACATTCATCAAAAATAGATCCTCATACATGCCAACATTTGAAAATCAGAAATCTGTACAAATTATGCTATTTTCAAAAAAAAGAGGAACAATCCTAACTCTCCTATTCAATACTACAGACAAATTTGTACAGGAAGAGGAACACCTGCATTAAAATGATAATTATCTTCTCCCAAAAAGAGGAATGTTCCTCTTTAATCTGAACAGTTGGCATGTATGGATCCTAATTGAAGAAACAAAGAAGGCAATAACAAGATTGTGTCTCGGCTCTCGCCCACCCTGTGACCAAATCAGAAAATGCTGCCAAAAAGCAGCCCTGACGCAGGTTTGGTTGCAGTTGGAACAATAGATGCAAAATTACTAGTCACAAGATTCTTGTGATTAAAAACCTGCGTTTATTACAGAGCTATTTCTAAGTGTATCTATCACACTGCACTACACATTTTTGTATCTTATAACAAGATCAGCGATTTTGGAGTAGTTACTTTCTCAATTTAACGGTTAGCACATGTCCCAAATGACCCCGAATATCCACAGATCTTCAAAACGTGAAGAGGTCCCACTTTGTACATTTTGAAAAATCACTCCTACAGCGAGGGAGGTGCGATATAAATAGCCCATTTCCCCTTTTCAAAAAGAATACTTCCACCTGTGTATCATGGAGTGCACTACTTGTGCATAAATGAATAATGATTACATAATTTTCATGAGTAGGTATCCAGTATTTTTTCTCCATGTATTTCACAATTTGGTCTGCAATGACCTACATGTATATCTGCTCATACTCAGACTGCAACTATGAACTTGCTTATTTCCGCTTGCCACTCATTTCATACAAAAAGAAAGAAAAAATAAAACTCCATGGTAAAACGTCATTTGTGAAAAAGCCATATGCTTACCCTTTAAAGGCTTCCTTGATTTCATCCACCTTCGACGACTGACAGCAGAGGGCGCACTTTGCTTTGGAGGGGTCGAAGAGCAGGCTGAAGTACTTTTCTCCGACTCGTTTCAAGTCCTCCACAGTCACCTTCGAGATTCTCTTCAGTAGCTCCCTATGAAACAGTTGACAGAGATGTTAGCGTAGGATATTGTAGGAGCATGTTTTGTGTTATCTTCATTAGGGTTGTACGGCTCATTTTAATTTCGATAGAAAATAAAAGTAGGTACATTTACATAACCCAGGTCCTCAGCCAGAAGAAGAAAAAATATTTCCTTATCGACTGGCAAGAGGAAGGGTCACAAATACAATAACAGACAGTAACAAATACAGGAACAAGAGAGAAACAAACATGGACTCGATGCTGCTTGTAAGTATCGGCTTGCATGGTGATGTAGATATACAGTAGGCTTGCGGATGCACCATGTGAGAGAGAGGGGGAGGATTGAGGATTGAGGGAGCATGGACTCGTTTGACATTAATGCAACCATCTCTTCTCGTACTATGATCACATACGACACGCTACTTGTCACTATCTAAATCTACTATGGTACATACATGTGCAACTTTGTGACACAAGAGGAGGGCAAACAATCTCGTACTTACCTATTGTAATGCTGGTCTACACGTCGGAGGTAGTTCATCATGGACTCGTTTGACGTTGATGCGACGGTCTCTTCTCGTTCTATGATCTCGTACAACACGCTGCTTATCGTAGTCTCGACTTGACCGGCAGTGAACTCAGTTTTCCCAGAAAGATATCCCTCCTAAAAACAAAGAAATAAAAACCTAAATGAATAAAATCTCCTTTAAAAATACAAAGGGTTGAAATAAGGCAAGTACAAGCTATTTTGCAATGTAAAAAATGTTTTATTAGTTTGATTTTTAAGGCTCGAGGCAATCGGGACACTTCCCTCATGTACTGTGAAAGGCTGTAAGGTCCTTTTACCAGTGAGGTGATGCATTGTGGGTATGAATATAGCATCGTAGGCTGTACATGGTTTTTAGCCAGATAAGGGCTACTCTGTCCCTACATATAATTCTCCTTCAAGAACGTTTAGTATCTGTTGATTAAAACAAGTTTAGCTAGTAGATTTTTTATTTTTGCTACTTTCGTTATTATTTGGTACCCTAGATTAATATTTAGTATTAAGAATGATTGAATTGTATCACAATGTTTTTAATTGAAAGGTACGTGTAGGTGTGGCAATGTCTCAAGCCTTTAGCTTATATTGCTAAACCTCTGGGTGTTTCTCCATCGGCTAGTTGATACCCCCCCCCCCCCCTTGTGCGTACAGTAAGGGTTAACATCTGTATATAAGGAAGGTTGAGAAATGCAGAGTTATATTTAAGAATTCCCCATACCAGATGGATATTTTTCCGTCTAGCTACGTACCACGATCTCCTTGGCCTGCTTGTACGCGGAGACGACATGAGTGCATTTGAATAGCTGAAAGTACAATAATCCCTCCTCTGGTCGAATGTACATACTGTAGTGGTAGGCGAACCCTAAGCCTCTGATCTGACGCCACATTGGACCCTGCGAAAAAGAAAGATAAAAATCAATCACGATACAGTTGTGTTATGTGTATGAGTACGTGACAGGACAAGGAAGACATCTCAGTCACCACAATTATGATCATCATCACTATCAAAATCACCAGTATCATCATCACCATCATCATCATCATCACTATCAAAATCACCAGTATCATCATCATCAACATCATCATCATCATCATCATCATCATCATCATCATCATCATCATCATCATCATCATCATCATCATCATCATCATCATCAATATCAAAATCACCAGTATCATCATCACCATCATCATCATCATCACTATCAAAATCACCAGTATCATCATCACCATCATCACTATCAAAATCATCATCATCATCACCATCACCATCGTCTTCATTATAATTATCTTCATCTTCAACACCATCACCATCACATAACCATCACCTCCATCATCATCATCGCCATCATCATCATCATCATCATCACCATCATCATCATCATCATTTTTACCTCAAGAGCACAGAGAGATTCCATGTAGACCATCACAGCAGGCAAATCTGGATGCTCGAAGCTATCCACACACGGGATGGTCTGAACGAAGAAAGCCGATTCCACCGAACCCACTCCAACAATCGTACCGCGTGGTTTGGAAGAACTCTCGTCTCTCAACTGGTATGACAGCTGACGCACCTCGGAGCTGAATCAAGATCAAGAAATATGCTTACAACTACTGTAAAAGCAGACACTTTTGCGACATGAGAGGTGCGAAAATTGCAAGAACGAGCACTGTGTCAGGTGGCTGTCTTTGTGCGCTCTAACTGCCTCATTTCTTGGCAGATTTCTTTCAAACATCTACAGAGATGCATTACTCTAATCTACACACATATTGTTTTGGTGATGCTGCTCCTAGTCTTGACAATAGTCCGAGCCACTAGTGGCAACCTCTCTACGTCATCCTTTTGTTTCAGGGAGGGGAGAGGTGATCTTTGTCCCTCCTTCGAACATAAGGATGACACAAAAATCGCTGCCACTGCCGGGGGATACCTTCGCATTGTGACAGCGATTCAAATATCATGAATTCTTGAAATTAAACCATCCCAAGACCTCCATCTACAGGGGTGTTTCAAGTTTACAGCATTTTTGCATTAAGGAAATATAAATTATGGATATGAATATTTTTAGAAACATGCCTTTATGACTGCTTGAATAATTTCTCCCACGCTAAACCTGTGTAAGGTTTAAGTGTATATCAGTTAACGCCCTTCTGGCTCTTGACATCAGATATGAACCTTACCATCAAAAAATTGTCTCAGAAAATTCTTACTTCTTTTCCTCAGCCTTCAATCCTTTTTCCATGAAGAACTGTTGCCATGGTGACTGCGGACTTGAAAGCTTCTTCATGTTGGCTGCCATGTGGACCCTGACGTTGCCTGGAGAGGTCACAAGGTCACGCAGAGAGTTCAGGTTCTTGATGACCTGTAGAGCGGATGAATATAATCATCATGTTATACCGTTAAAATTGGCAGCTGAATCCTCGTCATTCAAAGAAAACAAACGCAAGTGTTAATACACAGACAGGACAGTGATTACAGATTGGGGCATCAGAGTGTTAACATTACAGAATATTATAGAAATATTGTATGCTTAACGGCACATAAACTTGCAAAATTCAAAAATGTTCATGATTTGAATGATTGTTTGTTCATTGGGTGTGACATTTGCATTATAATTGTTGAAATACCCCACACCATGATGGGGTATCAAAAGACAAGGATCATTATTTTATTTGTGGACAAGAATCAAAATTACCACTTTTGTTCAGGGGCCCATGAAGTTTCCTCTTTTTTTTGAGATTTTAATTTAAACAAAATTTCCTTCAAATTCTATGACTTCTCCTTGACTGGAAAAGAGAAAATTCATTTATTTTCCAAGTTTCCCCTCATTTTCCAGAATGGATGTGAATCTTGTTTTGGTGGACATACCGTTGATGGATCTTGGCCGAGTTGCTCAAGTAGCTTGGTGAGGAAATTCTGCTGTCTGATCATCGAGACAACATGATGATTGCTCTCTGCACGATAGAAACAAGGCATACAAACTCTACATAATAACAATTATAGGGAATCACACACAAACTGCATTGAATAACCTCCCCTCAGTACACCGTACAATGTACTATGTATAGGACGGTCAGTGGAGCCAGAGGTAGTCTCAGCGGAACAACCATTGATACCAGAGACTGAAGCTTTCAGTCCAGCGAGTAGCTAATCCCATAGTAGTTGTTACTTGCCAAGATTACTCACATGTAATGGGATATCCCCAGGCCTCTGGTAAAGTAACCCGAGTTATAGATTCATATCCTTTATATACAGTAAGAGCCAGAGTAGACATTCGTTTATCTTTAAAGTCCCTCTAAAGTGTTGAGAGCCCCAAATTTGTCAAAAATTTGATGGCGAAATTTCACTTAAATTGTATCATGATGTGAAAGAGGATGTCATTTAAGACACACTTCTGCAAAGATTTCTCCCATAAAATGTGTTTGAAGACAAATATTGATAAAAGACTACATAGTTTGGGTTTTCTGTTGTACGCAAAATACATAATTTTTTAATTCCTTCATCAATAATCGTCTTCAAAAATATTTGTTTTGAAAATCCTTGACTTAAAGATGAAGTTGAGTTCTGGTCATGCGATTGCATTGTGAAAGAAACGTTGTGGAATCGATCAGAAAAGGTTGATCATCTAGCATATAAGAATTTGTGTGTATTGCAAGGTTCTGGAATCATCAAAATGATAAGAAATTTGGCCAAGTCTTGGTAAAGTTACAAACACTGTACACAGAAAGATGTATATGAGACTACACGAACACGTGGCGTAAAAATCCTACCCCCCCCCCCCCCCCGAGTTTTACAATGTCACATGACATATTTAGAATATAAAGGCATTTGAAGAGCCATGCTTTTCAGGGAACATGTCTTATCTGATGTTCTTCCACACTTGCATAATAAGAAATGATAACGCTCACAAATTATTTTTCACCTCTTCCCAGAACTCAAACTTCTCTTTAAATGACATCCTCTTTCACATTATGATACAATTAAAGTGAAATTTTGTCATCAAATCTTTGGGGCTCCCAACACTTTAGAGGAGCTTTAATCTGTTGTTTTTGTGGTTATTTTTATTAATATTAGTCTTACTAATATTAGTATTATTAATATTCTTTGAACAAGGCACTAACCTGGAGAATAGTTGATATCCCTAAGCACCATGAGCGCCACCGTCCTGCCGTCTCTCTTGAGCTTGGCGACATCGTTGATCATCTTCTGAGCGACTATCTTGATACGATCAGCTGTGAACTGAACCTGATACAACACCTCCTGAAGCCACTGCACGCCCTTGCTGTACTTTTCTTCCTCCACCTTTATCAATAATTACATTAAAATTAATTTATTAGTTATAGGAAAATCATTCTCAATGGCACCTTAAAACATATAATGAGGGGCTTTAAATGGGAGAATACAACCATTGTATGTGTGCGCATAAAGATAGAGCAGCATCTTTTTACCAATTGCTGCGAAAGAAATTTAATTTTTGAATAACATTGATTTAGTGGAAACAACAAATATTAGAAGAAGCTAAAGTATGTACTTTCATATTTTAACAACGAGGTGTCTGAATACCATTCTATTTGACAGCGAGGTGCCCAAATATATAGAAACACAAAGGGTGCCATGACTGATAAAGGGTTGAAATATGCCGAGATAAAGTAACAGATTCTGCACAATGAGTTGACATTATCAATATATAATTATCCATATTAGCATTATCATCATCATCGTTGTCATCATCATCATCACCATTACCATTATCATTATCATTATCATTATCACTATCATCATCATCATCATCAACACTATCATTATCATTATCAAACCAAGATCTCACCTTGACAACGATGCTTGCGACCTGAGAGAACTTGCCACATTTGAACCTTTGACCTCTGACCCCTAGGCACGACCTGGTGGCCAGAGTATCGCCAGCTAACTGTGTGATCACATCCTCATGAGATACAAGGGCTACAAATAAATAATGAAAATACAAAAGGATAATGATTATAATTTGTCTTCTGAAGCTCAGGGGCTTATATACAGTTAACAACCTAATTATTCATACCCTTACCAATTTTTGTATTTTTGAAAGTACTTTTTTTTTTTTTATATGTCCCAATTTATGTATCTCGAAAGTGTGACATATTTAAAGCTTACATCTAAAAGTATTCAACAAAGGCCCTATTTCAACTAGTCCAGCTTTCATTCTTGAGTTACCAACAAAAAGGATAAAAAAAAAATCAAAATTCTCATGGGGTATGAATAATTTAGTTGTTAACTGTAATACTTATGTCAGTAAAACTCATTAAGTAAGCAGGGGATGATCCCCGATAAACCTCTGTGGTTTTTGATCACCCCCTCTGCAGGTTCATCTTTTGTTGTAATACTTTTATATTTGATTGTAATTTACATTGTCTTTTATGAATCTGTGGAAATAAATGAAATTGAATTGAATTGAACTACCCAAGGTATAAACAGTTAAAACAATACCAAGATATTCAAGAAATGATAATCTGCCATGTTCAATTAATATCAAATTCACATCACAATGGCTAGTTTTTAAATTGAAGTTCGAAGATGACTGCTATCGCAAGAGTGTCGCTGCCGACTTCAGGAAGTCAGATTTTGCAGGTACATGTACACCATAGGAACATGTCTTTTCAATGTACAAATTGTGCATTTCTCTATGATTGGAACTTATATAAAAAAAATAAACAAAATTAAACAATTTTTTTAGGATAATACCTGGAGATCTCAGGAATAGACAATTTTAGCACATTTTCTGCATAGGTTTGCTACACAGGTTCAACTTCAGTCCCATATGTTCGAAATTGTGTTCTATTGTTTAGTTACCCCCAACAGCACTAATGTTTACTCACCACCATCCCGTAGGATAGGAGACTCAAACAAGAGTTCAAGATAGAGAGGTAGGTAAGGCTTCAGGGATGCATCTACGGTTGACGTATCCAACAGAGTAGATAGCTATGATATAATTGGGAAAATACAGAAATATAAGTAGCTGGACAACGGCAAACATAGTTTTAAAAAATAGAGATAGTGACTCTTTACACTATGACAAGGGGGGTGTTTCACAAAGATCCTAAGTCGACCTTAACTCTAAGTTGGACTTGAACATTATGGAGAGCCATTTGTAGCCATACCATTAAATATATTCAAAAGCATAAATTCAAGTGTTTTAGACACTTTTCATAAATTCCACATCGAGAACATAAAATCTCCTCGATAACAGAAAATATGAATGATTTGAATTAACATTTTATGTCTTTTAAAATAACTTTTCCATAATTGTAAAGTCCAACTTAGAGATAAGTTCAAGTTAGGATCTTTGTGAAACACCCCCCCCCCCCCCCCATCATTGTTTCACATATTGATAATAGATATATTTATATTGTGCACATATCTATCCCCTGGGAAGCTCAAGGAATCTACAAAGTAGTATCATTACCCTGACTTTAACCCAGCTGCCGCCCTAAGATGCTGAAAGCATTCAGGAACCCAAATGAATTTCTACCAGGTACCCATGATCCTCACTCAAAATTATGTGTTGTGCAAATGCAAATAACTGAGGTTTCGCCAGCCTGTACATGTATGCTTGGCTTATAGTTTTAAAAACTGACAACTTGTTATTTCAGTCCCGTATGAACACTTGTTGTTAGTAGATCGTTGATTTAAACGTCAGGGTCTTGCAAAGTTTCAATGAGAACATTTCCGTATGAACATACATAAGGCCTGGCTTCATCAGCTTGAGTTTGCCAAATAACCTGCTATTTTCAGACTCAGGATATTATCCCGAAGCTCAAAATTGCGTCTACACCAGATGGATACGCTCATCACAAAGTAGCTCAGACGGGTGCGAATAAGCCAACTATTTCCCAATTAGCGGGATATTTAGGAAAGAAGACCAAGATTTCTCAGGATATTTTCTCGACCAAATATCCTGCTAATTGCAACTGCAGGCTGATGAGGACGCACACTAGTTGGATAATTTGCGATCGGGATAGTTAAAAATAGTGGGTTGTTTGGCAAACTTGGGCTGATGAGGACAGGCCTATAAAGAGCTCAAAGGGTATTACTGACCTTGACAAAGTTGGTATGAATATCATCAAGCTGGAATGTGAAGGGTAGCGATTGGAGGTCCAGACCCGTATCACCTGCCCCGCCTCCCAGGTTGCTATAGCGTTGGAATGGATGGAATTGGATGGACGCTGTGTCTGGAATGGGTAGCTTGGTCAGCAGCTCAGCTGGCGCTTCTGTCTGTGAAAATAAATCAAAAACCATTGTATATGGTATTAATATTTTCAGTGAAAATGAGTCAACAACTATTTTATAGCAATTCTTTCTGTGAAAATGAATAAACGTTTATTCGGTTACTACAGCAAATCTTTCGGAGAAATGGATTGACATTCATTCTGTTAATACGGCAATTCTTTCTTTTGAGAAATTAAACAACATCTATACTGTTACTATGAAAATTCTATCTGAGAAATTAATCAACATCTATTCTGTTACTATGGCAATTTTTTCTGAGAAATTAATCAACATCTGTACTGTTACTACAGCAATTCTTTCTGAGAAATGTTTCAACGTCTATTCTGTTACGAAGGCAAATCCTTCTGTGAAAAAAAAATTGAATTTCCTTCTCCATCGCTTCAACAGTTCAAAGTATTATCCAATCTATCATATCATCATGTACCTGCAACAACGAGAGCTACGACAAAATACAGTAGGTCTGGAAAAGCTTCCTGAACAGGTAACTTTTTAACCGATTGTGAAGAAAGCACTAATATTCAAGTTCCTGATAATAATAATAATGATATTGGGTTCTTGTATGGCCCTCGTATCTGTTATACTTGACACTCTTGGCACTCCCAATTATTACCCTGGCTTTAGCATGGCTGCCATTACGGCGCTCTGGCATTTCAAGGAATTAATTCCTGCCAGGTGTCCATTTATATCACCTGGGTTGAGTGTGGCAAATGTAGATAATGTCTTACCTCATTCTCCTCATTGGCCTTCTCAACAACCTCTGCTTTCTCTTTAAGTCCTGCTTCTCCTAGAGATGCTACTTGCTTCGCGACCCGTTGCTTCTCCTCTTCGGCCATGTCCTTTGCTACTTTGCCGCTAGGTTCACCAACGATCTGTACAGGAAAAGAACAATTAGGGTCAAACCTTAGGCTAGGCTAAGCTAAGCCTTCGCTGTGTCCCTAAGGACGGTGGCTCCACAAACATATTCAAACCATGTTTTCCTATCTCGAGCAATTCTATATGCCTTCTGGAAGGTGCTGCCTACTAGGATGTCACTTTCCTTTCTCTTCCTTGGTCTTCCTTGGCCTATTTGTTCCAACAAAGTCCTTGTGAGTAGGCATTTATTAAGACCACATTAACTGTTTCTCTTAACAAAATCTTCCTATTGAAATGTGTACTATAGGAACCTGTACATAAAGACCACCTGCCTATAGAGACCTCTTTACTCGTCTCCCTTGAATGACTTCACTGTACTCAAGGAATCTATACATAAAGACCACCTGCCTATAGACCCTTTTTTCTTGTCCTCCTTGCTGTTATGCTGACAAGAAGTACCGTATTTGCCGGCGATAAGGCCGCACCGCCGCATAGGCTGCACCCCCAACTTTGACATTTCGTAGAGAAAAAAAAAAAAGGAAAAAAAAAAAAACGGACCAAAAGGAAATAATCATAATTTTCTCGTAGAACTAATTCAGAATTATCTTACTGAAAAGTTAAGAACACAGATGATTGCGCGCTGTGAATCTCTGAAGGTGCGTTGGATTTGTTGGCAACTCCCAGCCCAGTAGCTCCCCACCACAGAGTGTGTGAGCGAGGTATGATTTGGGTTACCTACCTGGGCCGTGCGCTACGGACATTTTTACAAGTACGATTTTTAGTACGAGTTTCTGGTCAGTTTTCTTCTTATTTCTTTGGTTGCACAACGATTAAAAAGATAACTTCTTCAAATTTGCTGCTGATGTGGTTCAGACTAGATCTAGATCTTGTCCGATGTGTTTTCAAGTCAATTTTGTTTTTTGTATGAAGTTGCCTACAAATAATGGACGTGCTGTTTTGACTTGCGATTTTTACTGTTTCAGCATAAAGGCCGCACCCCAACTTTTTTATATTTTCTCTTCGAAAATACTGCGGCCTTTACGCCGGCAAATACATTACTTCTTGTCGGCATAACAGCAAAATCTGCTTCAAATCTTGGACGATCAGACAACTGAAATGACTAAACTACGAGTCTGAGCAGTCTCCTGACATTGTCGTTTTTCATAACTTTTCATAACAGTATTCCTAACTGAGCAGATAGCATCTCTGAAGTTGCTTACTATACTACATAAAGCCCATCTGCACTAGTTTGGCCAGGAGGGATTAGACGTCCCTGCATGGTCACTGACAAGTGGTTTTCTCATCAAATCAGCTCTCAATTAACATAAGAAAAAGGGGACCACGGGGATCCAACGGGTACCACTTAGGCATCGTTTGCTATATAGAGGGCGCACGTAGCTGTAAGTAGTACAGTGGGGCTTTAAAGGGAGAGTGAGACTTACCGTGACAGAGGGAGCGTCCACAAAGAACTCCTTGAGAAGAGAACACCAGAAGGCCTTCGCTTCACCTTGTAGGCGACGGAAGTCCTCCACTTGATTCAAGCGTTGCTTCAGCTGGAGGTTGAAATGAAAAAATCAATATATGCAATTATATACCTCACTTAAGAAATCCAGCCTCTGATTGGTCGAAATTGCATTCATAAACTTTAACTATTTCTGTAAAATTCCCAGTAACCATGGTTAAAACAGTTCTCAAATCCCAGTAACCATGGTTACCGGGAAAATAGTTCAGTCTCCATGGTTACCCCATAGGTTTACATGTTAAAAAATGGTTTGAGCGATCGAGGATACCGTACGTGTGCGAAGATTTGGTCGGTATTTTCATACAAGACAAGACAATTCCAAACGAGACAAAAATGGCTTAAGAAACTGTCCTAAGATTTCAACTTATCAAATGCAAGACTCGCTGACAGCAAGAACAACTAGATGGAATTTTGACTGCGCGCAGTCGAAAATGATGCCTCCGCCATAGAGCAATTTAAACAAGTTTGGAGTTTAAATCTCCAGTGGTTCTTGAGATATCATGATAACAATCTCAATGTATGGAATTTCATAAGTTGACCTCTGTGACCCTTGACCTTTGACCTACGTGCTCCAAAATCTAATCAGATTGTCTTCCTATGGTGATACACACTATCATTAAGTTTGAAGTTTAAATCTCCAGTGGTTCTTGAGATATTATGATATGGTGATCCATACTATCATTAAGTTTGAAGTGAAAATTCTCCAGTGGTTCTTGAGATATCGCGATAACGATCTCAATGTATGGAATTTCATAAGTTCACCTCTGTGACCCTTGACCTTTGACCTACGTGCTCCAAAATCTAATCAGATTGTCTTCCTATGGTGATACACACTATCATTAAGTTTGAAGTTTAAATCTCCAGTGGTTCTTGAGATATTATGATAACAATCTCAATGTATGGAATTTCATAAGTTGACCTCTGTGACCCTTGACCTTTGACCTACGTGCTCCAAAATCTAATCAGATCGTCTTCCTATGGTGATACACACTATCATTAAGTTTGAAGTTTTTACATCTCCAGTGGTTCTTGAGATATCATGATAACAATCTCAATGTATGGAATTTCATAAGTTGACCTCTATGACCCTTGACCTTTGACCTACGTGCTCCAAAATGTAATCAGATTGTTTTCCTATAGTGATACACACTATCACTAAGTTTGAAGTTTAAATCTCCAGTGGTTCATGAGATATCATGATAACAATCTCAATGTATGGAATTTCATAAGTTGACCTCTGTGACCTTTGACCTTTGACATACGTGCTCCAAAATCTATTCAGATCGTCTTCCTATGGTGATACATACTATCCTTAAGTTTGAAGTTTAAATCTCAAATGGTTCTTGAGATATCGCGCTAACAAACTCAATACAAGGAATTTCATAAGTTGACCTCTGTGACCTGTGCCTTTGACCTACGTACTCCAAAATCTAATCAGATCGTCTTCCTATGGTGATGAATACTATTCCCGAGTCTTAAGTTTAAATCATAAATGGTTCTTGAGATACTGTGATAACGGTCAAACGGGACGGACGTACGGACGGACAACCCGAAAACATGATGCCTCCGGCACCACCTTCGGTGGCGGAGGCATAAAAATATATTTTCCTCCAAAATCCTGAACCACCCCGGCCCTAACCATTTCGGCCTGAAATTGGTGTTTATTCAAATTATCACAATATTTGCCCCTACGCCCCTATCAAAGGGATATGGGGGTCAAGATCCATCTAATGGCATGTATGGACATTCATTGTGGGGAAACTAGCCTATTAAAAAAAATATATATTTTCCTCCAGAATGCTGAACCACCCCGGACCTTCTAATTTCGGCCCGAAAGTTGTGATAATTCAAATTATCACAATATTTGCCCCTACGCCCCTTTCAAAGGGATATGGGGGTCAAGATCCATCTAATGGCATGTATGTACATTCATTGTGGGGAAACTAGCCTATTAAAAAAAAAATATATTTTCCTCCAAAATGCGGAACCACCCCGGACCTTCTAATTTCGGCCCGAAAGTTGTGATAATTCAAATTTTTACAATATTTGCCCCTACGCCCCTTTCAAAGGGATATGGGGGTCAGAATCGATTTAATTGCATGTAGGTACAATCATTGTGGGGAAACTAGCCTTTTAAAAAAAATATATATTTTCCTCCAAAATCCTGAACCACCCCGGCCCTTACCATTTCGGCCTGAAATTGGTGTTTATTCAAATTATCACAATATTTGCCCCTACGCCCCTTTCAAAGCGATATGGGGGTCAAGATCCCTCTAATGGCATGTATGGACATTCATTGTGGGGTAAGTACCCTAATCAAAAAATATAATATTTTCCTCCAAAATGCTGAACCACCTCGGACCTTCTAATTTCGGCCCGAAAGTTGTGATAATTCAAATTTTTACAATATTTGCCCCTACGCCCCTTTCAAAGGGATATGGGGGTCAGAATCCATCTAATGGCATGTATGTACATTCATTGTGGGGAAACTAGCCTATTAAAAAAAATATATATTTTCCTCCAGAATGCTGAACTACCCCGGCCCTTACCATTTCGGCTTGAAATTGGTGTTCATTCAAATTATCACAATATTTGCCCCTACGCCCCTATCAAAGGGATATGGGGGTCAAGATCCATCTAATGGCATGTATGGACATTCATTGTGGGGAAACTAGCCTATTAAAAAAAATATATATTTTCCTCCAGAATGCTGAACCACCCCGGACCTTCTAATTTCGGCCCGAAAGTTGTGATAATTCAAATTATCACAATATTTGCCCCTACGCCCCTTTCAAAGGGATATGGGGGTCAAGATCCATCTAATGGCATGTATGGACATTCATTGTGGGGTAACTAGCCTATTAAAAAAATATACTTTTTTCCTCCAAAATGCTGAACCACCCCGGCCCATACCATTTCGGCCCGAAAGTTGTGATAATTCAAATTTTTACAATATTTGCCACTACGCCCCTTTCAAAGGGATATGGGGGTCAGAATCGATTTAATTGCATGTAGGTACAATCATTGTGGGGAAACTAGCCTTTTAAAAAAAATATATATTTTCCTCCAAAATCCTGAACCACCCCGGCCCTTACCATTTCGGCCTGAAATTGGTGTTTATTCAAATTATCACAATATTTGCCCCTATGCCCCTTTCAAAGGGATATGGGGGTCAAGATCCATCTAATGGCATGTATGGACATTCATTGTGGGGTAACTAGCCTATTAAAAAAATATACTTTTTTCCTCCAAAATGCTGAACCACCCCGGCCCATACCATTTCGGCCCGAAAGTTGTGATAATTCAAATTTTTACAATATTTGCCACTACGCCCCTTTCAAAGGGATATGGGGGTCAGAATCGATTTAATTGCATGTAGGTACAATCATTGTGGGGAAACTAGCCTTTTAAAAAAAATATATATTTTCCTCCAAAATCCTGAACCACCCCGGCCCTTACCATTTCGGCCTGAAATTGGTGTTTATTCAAATTATCACAATATTTGCCCCTATGCCCCTTTCAAAGGGATATGGGGGTCAAGATCCATCTAATGGCATGTAGGTACATTCATTGTAGGGAAACTAGCCTATTAAAAAAAAAAAATATTTTCCTCCAAAATGCTGAACCACCCCGGACCTTCTAATTTCGGCCCGAAAGTTGTGATAATTCAAATTTTTACAATATTTGCCCCTACGCCCCTTTCAAAGGGATATGGGGGTCAAGATCCATCTAATGGCATGTATGGACATTCATTGTGGGGTAACTAGCCTAATCAAAAAATATAATATTTTCCTCCAAAATGCTGAACCACCCCGGACCTTCTAATTTCGGCCCAAAAGTTGTGATAATTCAAATTTTTACAATATTTGCCCCTATGCCCCTTTCAAAGGGATATGGGGGTCAGAATCCATCTAATGGCATGTATGTACATTCATTGTGGGGAAACTAGCCTATTAAAAAAAATATATATTTTCCTCCAGAATGCTGAACCACCCCAAACCTTCTAATTTCGGCCCGAAAGTTGTGATAATTCAAATTATCACAATATTTGCCCCTACGCCCCTTTCAAAGGGATATGGGAGTCAGGATCCATCTAATGACATGTATGTACATTCATTGTGGGGAAACTAGCCTATTCAAAAAATATAATATTTTCCTCAAAAATGCTGAACCACCCCGGCCCTTACCATTTTGGCCTGAAATTGGTGTTTATTCAAATTATCACAATATTTGCCCCTATGCCCTTTTCAAAGGGATATGGGGGTCAGAATCGATTTAATTGCATGTAGGTACATTCATTGTGGGGAAACTAGCCTATTAAAATAAATATATATTTTCCTCCAAAATCCTGAACCACCCCAGCCCTTACCATTTCGGCCTGAAATTGGTGTTTATTCAAATTATCACAATATTTGCCCCTACGCCCCTTTCAAAGGGATATGGGGGTCAAGATCCATCTAATGGCATGTATGGACATTCATTGTGGGGAAACTAACCTATTAAAAAAATATAATATTTTCCTCCAAAATGCTGAACCACCCCGGCCTTCTAATTTCGGCCCGAAAGTTGTGATAATTCAAATTTTTACAATATTTACCCCTACGCCCCTTTCAAAGGGATATGGGGGTCAAGATCCATCTAATGGCATGTATGGACATTCATTGTGGGGTAACTAGCCTAATCAAAAAATATAATATTTTCCTCCAAAATGCTGAACCACCCCGGACCTTCTAATTTCGGCCCAAAAGTTGTGATAATTCAAATTTTTACAATATTTACCCCTACGCCCCTATCAAAGGGATATGGGGGTCAAGATCCATCTAATGGCATGTATGGACATTCATTGTGGGGAAACTAGCCTATTAAAAAAAATATATATTTTCCTCCAGAATGCTGAACCACCCCGGACCTTCTAATTTCGGCCCGAAAGTTGTGATAATTCAAATTATCACAATATTTGCCCCTACGCCCCTTTCAAAGGGATATGGGGGTCAAGATCCATCTAATGGCATGTATGTACATTCATTGTGGGGAAACTAGCCTATTAAA